GTGCGTGCGTGTGCGTGTGTGTGTGTGTGTGTGTGTGTGTGATTTCCTGGTCTTCTCATTCGTGCTAAGTAATGACAAGGATTTTTCCTCTGTTGACTCAGAGCACTTTTATGTTGTGGCCAGCTTTCATGGGTTTGCATCACGTAGCTGCTGCTTCTGTAGAAAAGTGCTGGTTTTAAATATGTGTCAGGACATCGCAGTAGGGGACGCATCTAACCAACTAAAGGCTGGTTCCTTAGCAACAGCTATGGGTTAAGACGGTTAAGCCAACCCCTCTCTTGCCATAAAAAAACATAATGCTGCATGGAGATAGTAAATTCTGTGTCACTGTTACAATGGTAATAACAAATTTTATTTAGTTTAAACTTGAAGATAGAGTATATGGGTGTACTGTATGTATTGTGATGTTTATACAATAAATCGTTGCTTTAATGTAAACATGAGAAGCTTTTTGTGTTACCGTAAGTATAGAGCTGACAGGCTGCTTATGGCTCTCGCTTGATGGATTGTGTTTCTGTAGTGAGCCACTGCACTAGTAAATGGCTCACGTAGAGTCACTGCACTTGAGTTTATACAGCAGGGGATCGATACAGCTGTACTCCATATATCTGGCTCTCTCGTACTCTCTGTGTAAGATGTCCCTGTCGGGTCGGTTTCCTGTTATTGTGGTTGGCTATTACTCCAAAAACAATTTAGAAATGCAGCTCTTCCATGGCACTTTACGGCGGTTTTAGTTAATTTGTGTTCAGTGTTATAGCTTTGTTAATAATACTGCGGGCTGTTGTACTCACAGAGGTTTATTCGTCCATTTTCATGGACATAACTAGCCCAGTTTAGAGTTTTCCCAACTTTAATCACATTTGGAATGACAGCAAACATGAAAGAGATAATTATTGAAATCCCATTTTACTTAAGAACCGTGATTGGATTCTTGCCATTTTCAGAAACAGATAAGGTATATATCAGAATAAAATGTTTAGCTGTAGAATACACATCAAATCATAACCAGTGGGGAATATCAAGCACAGCTGGAAATCTTGTCCATTATCCATATTACCTACACTGTAAAAATTTTACTGTGTATTTTACAGTTTTGTACTGTTCTTCTAGAATATCATTAAATTTACATAAATAGACTGTGATATTACATTTCAAATGTAAATTAACGTAAAATCACTGATCGGCCCGGGCATTTTGACTAGAGACCGGCCCACCAGGATAAAGATTGAAAATGTGACGTCATTCAGGGGTAAAACCGCAAAGGATTCTGGGAACTCGTGGCAAGAGGTAGTAGCGCACGCAGGCTTTCAATTGAACTCAGTTACACAGCGATAAAAAGAAACCCAAAAAATGTCAAGAAGCTGTTGTATTATTAACTGCAATAGCCGGTCGCATGACAGCCACGGGAAGCCGACGGGTAAAAAGATCGTTTTTTTGTTTTTATCGGATTACGTCGTTGAAGAGAAATTTTTTAAGCCATGTTTCCGAAGTAAGAGCCGACGGATGGTCTGGATATACCAAATATAACGTCTCAGAACACTCCAGCTCACATGTTAGTTTGCTCCAAGCATTTACACAAAGATCAGAGTTTTGTAGTAGTTAATGCGTCATTTTTCTTAACATAATTGGTGATATAGGTTACAAGCAAGTCTGGCGCTGAACAGAAATTCTCGCGCTATGCTCCTGTGTTTATTGTGCATAAATAGTGAATTGTCCTGACACAATATTGCGTTTCGCTTCTGTTATTATGGTAC